TTTTTAGCATTGAGGCTAAAACATGAGCGGGATCACCTGGTGGTTTTCGGGAATGATCGAAGTCTTTTCTACTGTCATAGCATGATTGTTTTGATACACCTTTTGAAGAGTATCCCAGTTTTTTATAGTATTTTTCAAGAACTTTCATTGTGTCATCTTCAGCAGATATTTTTGGAAGTGACTTTTGAGCAACAATTGTATTTTGTTTTTCCATACTTTTGACTTTTGAAATTGAATTAGAGACTGTTTTAGGAGCCAAGTTTTTGGAAGGGACGTTGGTTGCAGAAGGGAGCAAAGAAAGTGGCAAAGTTTTTGAAGAAGAGAAAGAGGAAGCGCTGATTTTGTTGGTAGTTTTAGAAATTACTGGTGCACTTTTTAGTAGGGAGTTTTTGATAACATCTGCAGTAATAGATACTTTGGACACAGAAGAAATCGAGGAGGGTGGCAAAGTTGTCGAAGAGGAAGAAGAGGGAATGGTAGCTTTGTTGGAAGTTTTAGAAGATGATGGTGCACTTTTCTGAACAGAGGTTTTTATATCAGCCGAGCTGGTAGTGATTTTGGTAGCAGAAGAAATCGAGGAGGGTGACAAAATTGTCGAAGAGGAGGAAGAGGGAATGATAGTTTTGTTGAAAGTTTTAGAAGATGATGGTGCACTTTTTTGGACGGAAATCTTTATATCAGTTTTACTGGCGGTGAGGTTTGTTCCAGAAGGGAGAGAGGGAAGTGGTGCGACTGTCAAGGAAGAAGAAGTGGGACAGCTAGTTGTGTTAGTAGTTTCAGAAGATGATGATTCGCTCATCAAAACGGTGTTTTTGATAACATCTGCACCCGAATCAGTGATACACTCAACTGATTGAGTATTTGAATCTGTAGTTGGTGTCAGAACTGATTGGTTCAATGCAGGCTGAACGGTCAAATCATCGTTGCAGTTTGACTGACTTTTAGCAGAAATTTTGTTTTGTTCGCGCAATAATTCAACACGAAGAGCCGAAGCACACAAACTTTCAAATTCCATGTTTCTGTTATGTTCTTTTTCTTCTGCATACAAATTCCAGTTGCGTACTCTTTCATCAGTTTTTCGCATAAGTTCAGAATAGTAAGCTTTTTTGGCGTCGCTTCTTGCCTTTTGCTCATACTGATACTGAGACCACTCAGCCAATTCATTTTCTTCTTGTTGTTTATCTCTTAGTTTCTTTAGAACTTTCTCAGCTGCTCGTCGTTCCTGAAGTTCATCAAACCAAGAAAAGGCTGGTTTTGATTGAGGAAGGCTGTCAGAGTTTGAAACTTTTTCATCTTTTTGTCGTTTCTCAAGTTCATCAAAAGAAGAAACAGCTGGTTTTGACTTTTCAAAATTTGAAAGCTTTGGAGTGACTTTTTTCTGCTCTTGCAAAGTGTTCTCCTTGCCATGTTTTAGCCAATGGCTAAAACTTTTCACTGCACTTCTTGGAACTAAAGGATTGTCCACAGCTTCATGATACAATTTGAGTTCATTCATAAACTCTTCAATCTTTTGTTCTCGTTTTGAATTTTGCTTTTTTCCAATGTTTAGCCAGTGCTCAAAACTTTTTACCGAACTCTTTTTGACTGAAGGATCATTCACTGCTTCAAAGTACAATTCAAGTTCATTCATAAATTCTTCAATTATCCGTTCTTGTTTTGCCATTTTCCGTATTTTTGAGTCTGACAGGTTTCCACCACGATTATTTGATCTATCATTTTAAATATTAGATAATGGGTATATAAAAAAGTAAAATGTGTTATCAACATTTACCTAGAACTGCTATGCCGCTGTTTTGGTGCACTTTCATCTTCTATCTTCTTTTTAGGTTGAGTATTTCTTTGCGGAGATTTTGACAAAGTCCGTTTTGAAGAGGAGTCTTTTTGAGACTGTTTTCGTGAATTGTGTAATTGTTCTGCTAAATGAAATTTTTTATAAATACATTATTTTATAAAAATTAATGTAATTACCATTTGACAGATTATTTACTTGATCAAACTTTTCGTTTAGCAAGTTTTCAAGGTTTCTATTAGTTCTAGGATTGTATCCGTCAATGTCTGTAAAGTTGATATTGTTGCGGTTATCAGTCACTTTTTCGCACAAAATTTCAGCTACATCTAGTTGAATTTCATCAGGCAAATTTAAAATTAGGTTCCGAAAAGTAGCAATCAATGGTTCAATTGAATCAAATTCAACAAATGCAGCATTCCTGTCGCCAGTTATTGAATTTTCTAAGTTGAAAGCGGATTGGCTATCAAAATCATGAGAATCAAAAAGATAATATTTCACAGAACCATCATTTTCTGATTTTTTCAAAATAGCTCGAGAGCTGGATCCACAAATCACAATTCCCGCTCTGTTTTGATGCTCATCTGACTCCAAAAAGTTTCTAAGCGTTTGCTCAATATTCACCATATCAGGATCATTGTTCTTTCCTACTGATATTTCTCCGGGCTGGATAACAACTTTTTGGCCAAAAATTTTGACTTGTTTGAGGTGAATGTCATCAATGCCAGTGTAAAGTTCTCGGTTATTATCCGGTCGAATGAAATAATCAGAATGAGACATCAGAATTTCTTTCATGTTGATTTCGTAGTAATTATTTCCACGACGCAAAATTTGAAGCAATTCTTCCTTAGTTAGATTACGCAGAGAGTTTTCAGCTAAAGATGAATAAATGATGGCACACAATGACATGAATGTGCATTGATTTCCTGGCAATTGGCAATCTGGCAATGTCGCTTGATTGCGTTCGCAAAAAACAACGTTGAAATTGTTTCCAGTTTGCCAATCATCATTTTTTGCACTTTGAGCAAGTTTCTTTGAAGATTTTGAAGTTTGAACTGAAGGGCTGCGTTTTGCTGTTTGCCTATAGTGTTATTTCACATGTTAGAATAAAGACAAATTAAACAAAATTTAAAAATATTCAACTAACCTAGTAAAGTTGTCATTCTTAAGTTCCTTTTCAGTAGAACGAACTCCTTCAGTAATGTGAGTATTTTCCTCATTGAAACACTTTAGGCACATGATCTTGTCACATTCCAAACACTTTATGTGCACTCTCGGGACAGCTCTTGTTTTGAACTTATCACGTGACTTGTTCTTGCTATTTCTAAACTTTTGACTGCAAGATCGACAAGTTTTTGCGTGTTTGTCAAGTGTTTGAACAAGATGATGAACATTTGATGGTTCACTAGAAACTTGAACTTCGCAAATTGAATCATCAATTGTGAGTTGCTTCACTTGCTTCTCTTGTTCACTAATCAATTCTTGAGCCATTTGATAAACTTGTTTGACCAATTCTGCTTTCTTTTTTGACTGGCCTATATTTAAAAACATTAGTTTGCTAGTTATTAAAAAATAGAATAATGCATACTTTTTGGTGTGTAATTCATCAGATGGAAAGACACTTTGCGCCGAAAATCAGGAACTGTGAAACTCTTTCTAAAATTGTCGTCTTTTTGACTAACAAACAATTCATAAGCGTTGACAACGGCTGTGTTGCAAAGCAATTCAGTTGACAATCGCTTATACCACTTGTATGTTTTCCTTCGAGGATCACCAAAAGCGCATTTTGCGTCAGAAAGGTCAACAGGAGTTTTCCACCGATTATAATTTGCGACAACATCCGGTTTCTGAAGAGGATTTGAAAATTGATCACGTCTTTGTTGATTATTCCTGTTTTTCCAATCAGACATCTTGTTGTCGTGAAATGTCGATAGAAGTATGACGCTTTTTTTCTGACTTGTTTTACTTTTGGCTCGCGTGTGATCTTTCCACCTTCCAACCATAATTCCATCTTGATTGCCAAAAGCACAAAATTCTCCAGGTTGGACGTCAAAATCTTTTACTTGAGATGGAAGACCAACTCGAGATGAGCGCATTGTTCCTATAATAATTACAAACACAAATAAACTTAACAATGCATTACTTCAACTAACAACAAAACTTACCAACTAGATAAGTTTTGCGCTCCAAAAGTTTGTGAGCCAGAGGAAGAGATGTGTAATAGTTGTCAGTAGTGAGAATGTGTCCGCGATCAAGATATTCATCCATCAGCTCAAAAACAACTTTTTCAGGAGTCCACACAAAATCACCCTTTCCAGAATACAAAAGAATTTTGTGTGTATATCCTAGTCCCGAGCAAAGTTTGAATAGTTTCAATCCATAATGATGACTTTTTGATTTGTTGTACTGACGCAAGATAGTCCTTCCACGAAAGGGAACCAGTGATTCATCGATGCAAACGTTTTGTGGCGGTTTGTTTTGAGCAGCAAAATTTTCATTCAGCAAATTCATTAGTTCTCGTATTTTGAACGTTCTGTCATCTTTTGGAGCAAATTCATTGTTTGAAAAATGAAGTCTTGAATTGATTTCTTTGAACCGACGATAGGTCATCACGTTGGGAGCAATGTCTTGCTCAGTCCAATGATTTTCAATAGTAGATTCCTACAAAAATTTAAAAATTAATTAGTAAATCAAAAATTGCTTTGAATTGCAAAACATTTACATGTTTGATGCCAAACAAAATGCAAAGTCCCAAAAACTTGCGAATTTCTTCCAATGTTACGTTTTTCCACTGAGCAGGTTTCTTTTTCTTTTTGAGTTGCGCATTTTTTTCAGCGTTTTCCCACATTTGCTTAGCATAAATGTTGGTTTGATCAACAATCATCTGAATGATATTTTCAGAAACTAAAGC